AATGTGCAGTTGAAAGATCGTTGCTTGCAAAGCCCTTATGGAGATGTTATAGAAACAAAATGACAAAACAATATGTTCAAGTGGAAACGTAAAAGGAAAATTGTTTGGATCAAGTTGTAGTTTCTTCAGAATTGTCGTTTTTTCATTTTTAGAGTCGAAGTGATGGATGTTTTTATTTATTTATTTTATTGTGATATGTAATTATTTCAGTGGCAGGTAGGTTACTGAATAAATCATCATCATCCAATGTTATTATATCCATTTGTTTAGTTTAATAACATTGAAGCTTTGTTTGTGTAGATTCTGTTGTATTTTGAGGGTAGGTATCGTTCAATGATTTGATTGATTGATTTGGAGATATGTTATATAGGTGGATGGATTTGTAGGATATTAGTCAGAGTGGTGTTGCTAGTTTGCATGATTTCCCCTAGATTTATCATGATTTGTATTCGACAATGATTTTTGAGTTTGAGGTATTTGATTTCTGTGTTGATATCAGTAATAAGTTTATCAATATGTTTCTTTAATGTTATCGGTGGGGTTTATAAGTAGTTTTGAAAATTCTGCTTTGTTTTTTTGATTGACAGTTTTTTTTATTTAGTATGACAAAAGTATTGTTTTTGTTGGCGAGTCTAATAACATTATAATCGTTTTTACATAATTCTTTAGTAACCTGTCATGGTTAGACGTCAGGTTTGTTTTCAATAGTTGTATCTATTCTTTATACTTTCGACTTTTAGTAAATCCGGTAAGTTGATGGTAGATACAAATAGAAAATTAAGCAAGTTGATAAAGAAAAATGAGATGGAAAGACTTTTGGTCGTAGTATAACAGTTAACAAATGGCCTTGTATAAGCGATATATGATCGCCAACCTGCAGTAGCTTGTATAGATCTAGTAGCGCCCGGGGTGAGGATTATAACTATCGTCACTTTGCCCCTCCCCACCCGCAAACAAAATCGTAACATATACTTAGTTTATTTTCTTTTTGACAGATTCATTGTTCAGAAAGTTTTATCATAATCAGAAGGAATATTTAAATAAAAAACATTAACACGTTATACAAATTCGACAAATTTTATTTATTTATAGATTATAAATAAGGTTGACAAAATGGCTTCGTTTGTGAAATATTTCGTAACTGTATTTTATTGTTTTAACACTAAAACTACAGAATATTGAAATAAAATATTGAACAAACCGATTAAAAAAAAAACAACTAATAATTGGCAATTGATAAAAATAAATGAAAAACAATTTAATTTCAACTCAGTAGAACTTAGATAAAATTTTGCGTAAATATTCTTTGTCTAATATTTCTTTTGCAAAATCTTTTGAGAAGATTTTTGTGAAATATGGCAACAAAAAGAGAAACTATAATATTGTGCTCTCAAAAAAATTAGCTGAATGATTAATTTAAAAAAAAAATTTCATTTCAATTTTTAATTGAAATTAAGTTTGTTTTGAAATTCTTTAATTTTTCGCTCTGTCTCGTGTGACATTTTTGGTTATTAATAATTGACTAAAATCAGGTTTAGTTACTATTAATAATAAATAGGAAAATAGAAGATTTGGATTTTACATAGAATAGAATGCGCAGAAAATGAATGACCAAAAATAAAATATATTCTATTTTCTATCTATATTTTTTCATATTTACATTATAAACAATCTGTTGCCAATATCAAAAGAAAAGGGTAACCGGAAAACATTGTGATCAATTTGATATAAAAAAAAAAAAAAATCAATCAAAAAAAAAAAAAAAAAAAAAAAAATCAGCAGGCCAAAAGGAAATTTATTTTAGTTGGGGATTTGTAACGTTTGAAGATTTTGGAATAGTAGTTAAATTTCAGTTTTAAAAAGAATTTGGAGAAATAGAAATTGGTTCCGCTATTTTCAAGGTAATTATTCAGACGCGTTACATTCCACCAGAAAAGATCTTTACAGTTAGGAACTGCCCTGCCACCTACACAAGGGTGAATCATCCTCATTTGTATTCCATTGGTTGGAAGAAAGTTCACCCCAGGCTGTTTCTTTCCGAGAACCGCTACTCTGAGGAACATACTCCCAAGAGGATGCTTCCCTGATCAATACAATCTTAAATCCTTCAAGTTTAGGGTCAACCCGTGTCTATCCTACATATGCACATAATCTGCACTTATGTCAACACAACAACTTCACTGAGCTACACTTTATCTTTAGTATCTCTCGGGCCTTGTAATAGGTAAACATTTATTAAAATATTCTGACATTTTAGTTGATATGAAGTGCGATGGCAGTTCCATTATGAAAACGTTTCAGTTTTACCATTAGCCAGTTGAACAATTCATTAACTTCAAATATATTTTTTCTGTTTCTGTGTTGTTTTCTTATTCAAAATTGAAAGAAAAGAAAATTCTATATAAACTCGAAAAAATCTTGTCTAATTTCTATTGCTGTTATAAGAATTACTATTTTACGGAAAAAATATTGTAAATATGAGAAATTACGAGAGATTAATTATTATGAGACAAAACCATATTTGTAGTGAAATTATTTACAAAAGGTTCAAATGTCAAAATTAAAATAACTATGCTTGCCCCCGCCCACAGCCCAATAAAAAATGTTCGTACGAACGAACTTTTCATTATTTGTTCCTTATGTAACTCTTTTCTTTTGTTAGCTTCGTAATAAATGTGGACGTTTTTCTTGTTTGGCCTTTTTTTTAGGCCCGTTGCTGTATAAATTGTCCAACACTAACATTACACCACTAATTGAATTTTTTTCATACCTGTGTAGAATGTGTTTTGATTGAATTACAAAACACACACCGTTTGAACAATATACATACATACATGGCGGTTGCCAACTCGTGTCCGAGTACGGCCATTACTACATATCTTTTTGGAGAATATCTATTGATGTGCTGAACGAATGTGGCTCTTTAGCCCACCTAGGGACCTACATACTCTGGCAAAAACAAGGCACTTAAGAGGTCCAACAGTGGGTGGTATATTATGATGCAATTTAAAATGTCGCATGGAACCGCTTCTGGACCCGCATATTTTACCACAAATATCACATTTCAATTGTTGGATGTCTACAGAATTATAATCGATTGTAACCTTCCATTGGTGCAATTCTGAGACCAGCCATCGACGAACACACTCTACCACAATTTGTACACGTTAGATCGAGCTGCATGTGTCTTCAGGGTGTTCAAAGGGAACGCATTTTTAAGCTTTGTGTGCCTCCTTTTCTCATCTTTAAAGAGACGCCTTCCACTACTATCAGCCTAATTCCAATTACTGCGGTCAGATGCAAACACACAAATACACACACACACACACACACTCTCACACACACACACACACACACACACACACATATATATATATATATATATATATGTATATTGATGTGTATTTAGGCAACAACCTTTCTTTTTTGCATCTTTCATTGAAAACGGTCGACAAGGAAGATTTAATTAATCTTTTATTGTGTTTTTCCATCAATCTTACATATTTTCCATTTTTCAGGTGTTAAAGAATGTAGGAATCTGCCAATCTAGTTCAGGAAGAATTTCTGCATATTTCGTCAGTTTCCACTTTGAATGTTCTTCTTTGAAAAGAGCGAATACTTGACGCTCAAAATCAGTGAGTTGTTTCGCCATACGAGAAGGGCAGAACGAAAGACGAAAGTTATCTGCAAATAACCTTTTAAATGATGAGTCACCAGATCGAGCAGCAATTAAATCAATCATAAAAAGAGCCAATCAGAATTAAGTAATTACGCGAGAGTCAAATGATTATTCAAAATCATGAATATACAAGATATTTATTCTAAGTTATTCAAAGTCAATTATTTATGAAAGATAAAATAATGGTAATAAATTGCCGCTTTGTTTTTTTTGACTGAGCAGCTTATAGTAGTATTAATATTAATTGTATATTTGTAATTTCTTAAAGCATTGTCATTTTTTCATTGAAAAAATTAAAAATATATTTTGATAATACCTTGAAATTGTTAAACGTCTTTTGCTGATTTTGTTCATTGTTAACCATTTTTTATTGGTAGTGTTTCTGTTCATCCCTAGTATTGCTTGTTCAAAGACAATCTAACAATACAATGGAGGCATTCTTTTTTTTTCTTACAAGACCGCTTCTTGGTATAAAGTTTATTCCTGTACTGATTCTATCTTTAGCAGAATAGCGTTGTCTAACTTGTTGAGAACCAGTAAGTGAAAGCATCTTTCACTTCGTGATCACTCCTTCAGGCCAAACAAATAGTCACCGACAGAAATGTCAGAAGATAATCCGGTATTCATTAGAGTTACGTGACAACTACAACCGGATATCCGGTCACTCCTAACCGAGTCGGAGAACTTTGTCATAGCATTCTTATAACCTAAACTTCATTGAACGTACACGTGCAAGATTTTAAGGAAGTATCTTAGACAAACCTCACAAACACTCTTCTTCTTCGTCTTCTTTGTGCCGTTTCCCTTCTAGACGTGGGGGATCATGAGTCTCCACAACTTCCTATTCCTTATAGTTCGTACGTTTGATACCTCTGTAACTCAATCCATTTATGCAATCTAGTCAGATAAGTTCCCCACGATCTTCACCTACCCCTTTTGCCTTCGATATATGCAGTGAGTGTTAAATTTCCAAGCCCCCATTCGTCATTGTGACTCAGAAATTCTTTCTGATTCTGAGTTTAAATATCTTTAATTTTTATTTTCCCTAAGGTTTCTCCAGTGCATGTGCATTTCCTTCAAGATATATCAGCATCGTTCTGTAGAACTTTATTTGTGCTACCCCCTTTCCTCTTCATCTATGAGGAAATTGTTCAAAATTCACTGCCATACACGCTTAATTTCTAACGAAATTATTCTGTTTTTTATTACTTTGCTTAGCTCTTGAAAGGCATCTTTTTCCTTTTCCAATGCGCCGTGTTATTCTGGTGTCGACTTTCCCATGAAAGCTGTTGGCGTTTTTTTTTTTTATTGGTAATTGTTCGCATTGAAACACCGGTTCTCGTAGGATCACCGAAGTTAAGCAACGTCGAGCCTGGTTAGTACCTAGATGAGTAATTGCTTAGGAATACCAGGTGCTGTAAGCTTGGATGTGCTACTGGCGTAATGGATAATAACTTGGGATAGTTAATCGGAGAGCCGAGTTCCTGTACGATCACTGAGGTTAAGCAAGGCCGAGCCTGGTCAGTACCTAGATGACTGACCGCTTGAGAATACCAGGTGCAGTAAGCTTGGGTATGCGGGTAGTGTAATGGATAACGGCTCGGAATAAATTCCAGTTGGGTCCGTTATATACACAAATACCCCTGGGGAAGATATGCATCCACCTTTCCCCCATCTATGGGCTAATTAGCAGGACTTGTAAATTCCCAAAATTCTTACATTCAAAACATTTTCTGGCTTTAAATATCTTGCGAAAGGTTGATAAGCCGTGAAAAAAATCAATCAATCGATATATTTATGGGGAAGGAGTGCTCAATATTGGTGATTAAGAGTTTGTAGATCTTTACACTTCATGGTGACGCACCTTAAACGGTCATCAGACCATATATATTTGTGTGTGTGGATGTATGTGAATGAGTACATATGTGTGTATGTGCCAGTATGTATATGTATATGCCACAGTGGGTATATGCCTGTAGCTAGTATGTGAGCCTTCGCGTGTATTTATATACAACTAGTATTAAAATATAATATATATATATATATATATATATTATACCGTGAGATAAGTTTATATGTAATGGTTTAAAGACAACAAATGTACTAATATGGTTGTGTTTGTTTAAACATTTTATTTCTTACTATTGAATGAGAGATGTTGTCATGTATATGAGGGTTTTTATATGATAACCTGAGCTGAAAAATTGATCGGGAATTAACACTGTATGATTAATCTATGTGATATAGATAAACTATTACATTAATTACAACATTGTACATTTTGTTAAAAAAAATAAATATATTTTGGCAAAATAAACTTTTTCCCATCAAGAAGCAGAGTGTCTATGTACTGCCGCTCTCACGTACACACAGCACACACACACACACACACACACACACACACACACACACACACACACACACACACACACACATATGTATATGGTGGGTACGTGGTGTGTATATAATTTTGACTGTCCGTTCACTATCGTTGTTATTTACTTTGGGGAGTCTAATTTGGTGGTCTATACGGTGGTTAGGGAAGCCATTGTTAATTAGTGTCTGTTTTACATTATTGATTGCTTTAAGGAAGAGTAGTCGAGAGGATGAATTCTGGTGTGCTCTTTTAGGAAGTTTTTTTATTACTGCTATTTTGTATCTAAGTGAGCATTCACTTTTAAAGTTAAGGTAGCAAGACTTACTGCTGGTGTTTTTTTTATAGACCTTCAATTTAGATTATTTCTCCCCATAATAAATAACAACGATAGTAACATACAGTCAAAAATTACATAAATATTTTCTACAAAAACCAAATGCACATTAACTGCAAACAAAACGAATCTTCACTTAGAAATATTATAAAGAAATACACTACCCCAATCAATGCGAATAAAAAAAATATCAAATTAATTATCTACTATAAAAAATTTAAGACGTATACTTAAAAATAACAACACACCAGCAAAGTCAAAATTACAACGAACGAACATTATCTATGAATTTAAATGCCCTTTAAGGAACTATTCCTGATCAAACGGAACTCATAAATAATTACATCGGTCACACAACTACACGCCTATCCAGACGCCTTATGTTACACGTATCTGACCAGAGCTCCATTAGAACCCATTTAAACACGCACACAAACCTAACAGAGTCCATTCAAAACATACTAGTAGAAAATATAAACATAATAACCTCATCCACCTGTAAAAAAAGATTAAAATAATGGAAGGCCTATTAATAAAAAAGAAAAAGCCAACTCTTAACAATATTAACTACGAACTAGGCCAAAATGTGCTACTGAGTCCGGAAAATAATACATCTCTATAACAGAATAAAAACATACACATAATGCACACACTCAACTAAACTGAAGAAATAAAATCATTCTTGATAATGGCTAAAAATATAGCGGAAAGCGCTCGGAACCATAGAACATTTGGACAGTTTCTACACACTCTGTGTCCAAAAAAGAAAGCACTTGTTCGAACACAAGAAAAAAATTAAACAAAAAGCTTAACCGTAGTAGCTTGTCTGTCGTCTTTAATGAGACATGCATAAATTAAGGATTGCTGCTTAAATATACAATATATATATATATGTATATATATATATATGTGTGTGTGTGTGTGTGTGTGTGTGTGTGTGTTTTTGTGTGTGAAAAAAGACAAGACAAAAGGAATATTTATTTTAGCCGAAGGAAACGCGATAGTTGAGATAAGGTTTCCTTTTGTCTTTTTTCATATTGTCCTTTTATAAATATACTCTATCTGAATTTTGTGCATATATATATATATATATATATATATATATATATATATATATATATATATATATATATATATATGGGAGTAAGAAAATTATCCGCACTTTCGCCATAACATTTAGGCTTGTCACACTGCCTTTTGCTCATGTGTGCTTACAGTTGATACTATTGTGGTCACATGACCGAAGTTCGAGCTTGATTAAGCCAGTTTTCTTGCTGTTGTTACAGTGTAAACATGGCCTCTCCGCTAGCAGTGTGCACCAAGAGTATTTAACCGATTTCTTTGATCGGATGGAGAAGTTTAAAGGTAGCCAGACAATTGTGAGGCACAAAGAAGTAGCAGGACGCCCGTCAACTTCCACCGCTTGCAAGAAGCTTCAGCAAGCTCGAGAGATGGTAAAATCTGTAAGAATAAAACTTAAATATTAAAAATATGACTTGTGTATAAAATTATGAATTAAGCGGATGAATAAATTTTTTTCTTTTGTCATTGAAACCCAGACGACTCACTGGATAATGGAAGTATACGTTTGTTAGCAGGCACCCCACCTAAAATTAATCTGACTTTGTAAGTAACATAAAGTGGACGCATAATCTGTCTAGGGAAAATAAACACCAACTACATCTAAATTAGAATAGATTGAATTTTCCTTAAACTTAACAATTCATAATATTAATATTGTCTGCGCTTATAAATTAAGTAACTTTCTTAGAAAATTATTCCTAGCATCGCTTGACAATGGAACGAAACTATGGATTTTAAGTTTAATTTTATAATTAAATTTATAAATTTAGTTTCAGTTTTGAAACATGGAAATTTTCTGTGTCTCGATGGAATCATTTTTTTTCAAAAAAGAAAATAATTATAATATTTTGCTCTACTCATTGTATCGAGCACTGTGTTTTTAAAAATAAAAATAATTGCTAAGAACACCGGATTATAAATCTTGCTGTTTTTTTCTTATTATTTTAATATATATATATATATATATATATATATATATATATATATATATATATATATATATATATATATTGTTGTAGAGAGGTTCAACAAAAAAATGTACAGGATAATTTTTTTTTCATTATCAGGCAGCGCGTTTGTCTCCTTACAAACTCCGCAATAGGAAAGGAAATCTTTTTGTCACAGGAACTGTAGCGTCTTGAGATTTTAAGAACTTTCTCGACTAAAAATAATTTGTATCTCAACAAGTCAAGTGATTCCATTGCTATGAGCAAATTCGCAGAGGCCATAAAGTTGCAAAACGTGTCACGAAAACATATTATGCGGCAGAATATATTCTCAGATGATGATGATTGCACACATAACAAAACAACCTTCAAATTAATATCAACCCGATGGGGATATTCTGCAGAACTGACAAAGATCAAAAACATATGAATTCCATTGTGCATTTGATTATTGAAAAATATCATTCTCATTCCATTTTCTTTCTTTCTTTCTTTCCCCGATTTTCTCTCTCTATTTTGATCTCTCTTTCATTTCTCGCCATTCTCTCTATCATTATCTCTTTTGGTTTTTCATTTCTCACCCTTCTCTCTATCACTATCTCTTTTGATCTCTCTTTCATTTCTCGTCCTCCTCTCTTTCTTTCACATTCGCATTTGGTCTCTCTTTCTTTTCTCGCCCTTCTCTCTATCATTATCTCTTTTAGTCTCTCTTTCATTTCTCGTCCATCTCTCTATCACTATCTCTTTTGGTCTCTCTTTCTTTTCTCGCCCTTCTCTCTATCATTATCTCTTTTAGTCTCTCTTTCATTTCTCGTCCATCTCTCTATCACTATCTCTTTTGGTCTCTCTTTCTTTTCTCGCCCTTCTCTCTATCATTATCTCTTTTGATCTCTCTTTCATTTCTCGCCCTTCTCTCTATAACTATCTCTTTTGATCTCTCTTTCATTTCTCGCCCTTTCTATCATCACTATCTCTTTTGATCTCTCTTTCTTTTCTCGCCCTTCTCTCTATCATTATCTCTTTTGATCTCTCTTTCATTTCTCGCCCTTCTCTCTATAACTATCTCTTTTGATCTCTCTTTCATTTCTCGCCCTTCTCTCTATCACTATCTCTTTTGATCTCTCTTTCTTTTCTCCTTCCGCCTCTATCTTTCGTACCCCCTCTTTTGATCTCTGTTTCATGTTTCACTCTCCTCTCTCTTATTTTTAATTTCTCATTTACACTTTCTCTCCTTGCCCTTCTCTTTTCCAACATATATTTTCTCTCTTTCATTTGTCGCTCTTTTTTCCTCTCGCCATCTCTTTTAGTCTCTTTTTCATTTCTCTCCCTTTCACTTTAAAGTCTTTTAACCTTTCTCATTTCTCGTTTTCTCTCTTCCACTAACTTCAATCATGTCTCTTAATCTCTCTATCATTTCTCGCCTCTCTCTCTCTTTTAACCTTCCTTTTATTGTTATTGCTCTCTCTCTCTCTCGCTCTCTCTCTCATCATATGTTTTAATCTCTTTCGCCCTTCTTCCTCTCACCATCTCTTTTAATCTTTTTTCATTTCTCACCATTCTCTCTTTCTCGCTATCTCATTAGTCTTTAACCTTTTCAAATTCCTCCTTCTCTCTCTCTTACATTTATTCCAATCCTCTCTCTCACCATCATTTTCATTCTCTCTTATTCTTCGACATTCTT